AGTTTTCTTTAAGGACAAGGTTAGAAGCAAGGTTGAAGCAAAAGAGTTCCATGTGTCTAGGTGGCTAAGAAACAGCTTTATTGGTCAATAAGGTAAAGTGAGCCAAACGTGACCCCAGCAGAGCTGGGCCCAGTAAGGCTGTTCAACACAATCAATCCTAGTATTTTATACCCTTAACCAAACAAATCTGATGCCAGGGCAAGAAATCAAAGCGAATTTCAAAAAGAAACTACTATCAGCAAAGAAAGAAACAGGTTTTAGGGAGTGAGAGTTTCGACTCAGAATAGTTCATTAACGCATTCCAACAGCCCATCTTACTGGTTTTTTTCCATGTTGGTGAAGGTCAGGTACTCACATGCAGAAGCAAGAAACTGAAATGGCTTTTGTTCTATTGAATGGCTTCTAGCTAAATATGAAATGGTTTCCACAGTCCCCATCTGGCTTTCCTCCCTAAGGTGGTCTCTCAATTTCATATGTCACAAGACATTTACTTGCCAGTTTTCTTCCCAAAGCCTTATGCCTCGCCTAGAGAACAGGCCCTGCATGTCCTGGATGTTAAAATATAGAGAGGATTAAAGCATTTCATAAATCTCCACAACTTTTTATTTCAGTAGCTGAGAGGATGAAGGGCTCATTGGTTTCGGCCCAATGCCTATCCTCCTGGATTACCTCATGCATTAAGGAGTGCTTTGACAGTGCAGGTAGGCCGGCGCCTCCTCTGATGGCGCACTCTGTGAAGGCGCAGGCAATGTTCAAGGCGTTTCTCGTGCAGTTGCCTATCCTTGACATATGTGGGGGGGCCACGTGGTCCTCAGTACATACCTTTTCGGAGCACTATTCAATTACCCAGCAGGCCACGGAAGATGCGACTGTGGGCAGGGCCATGCAGCAGTCTGTTGCGATGTAGGTAGTGTTAGGCTCTGTCCCCACCTCCTAGGGCACTGCTAGGGAGTCATCTAATTGGAATGGACATGAGCAAGCACTCGAAGAAGAAAAAACAGTTATTTTCCTCATAACTGTTATTCCTCATAACATGGCCATTCCAAATCCCACTCACCTCCCCTTCGTCAGAGGACTGCGGCAAGAAGGAACTGAGGGGATGAGGGGTCAGCAGGGGTATATAGGCTCCGGTATATCAGCGCTACTCCAGGGAGCTTCCTGGCTGGCCCAACGGATATTTCTAAGGGAAAAAAACTCCAGAATCCATGCATGCAGCGCACACACACCTAATTGGAATGGACATGAGCAACACATTTTGAAGAACAATAGTTATGAGGTAAGTAACTGTTTTTTATTACTTCAGAATTAGTACCTAATTAGTTGTACCTCAAGTATCCTTTTTCTTCAAAAAAGCAAAAATTTCTTCGGGTTCCGTAATTATTAGGTTTAGTTATTTAGATTAGGCTCTTTCTGTGGACACTACAACTCTGCTAAAACCTGTCCTGCTCTCCATGATATGCCTGGCTCATCCGGTTTTAAAAAGTGCATGAGCTGCAGACTATCTTTTTCTATATCTGATAGACACGACTGGTGCATCTATTGCATTGGGGAAGAGCACCCTATAGAGCACGGTCATAAAGCACTGTCATTGTCAAAAATTAACAATGCATGCCAGGGAGCTACAAGGAAAAATGATTCAACTTGAGGAAAAAAGCTTGGTCTGGCTCTGACCCCAAGTACAGTACCCTGGGACGGGATCAAAGGGAGCAGCTCCTTCCGAAACGAGCCCGAACAATTGAGAGAGGGAAGCTGCAGGCCACTCGTACCATCCCATATGGCAGGGATTGGAAGAGGTTGGACACAATGGAGAGAAAAGCATATTTATCAGCCTGTCTTCAACTCAGAATAGCTAACTACGTGGCATTATTGGCAAAATACACACATCACATCTTTGACCAGTTAACAGCCTTTATTGAATCATTACCAGACAATCAAAAGGAACAGTTTAAGGCCAAAATCAAGGAGGGCACATTAATATCACGTATGGCCTTCCAGGCAGTGCTTGATTCAGTGGATATAGCATCTAGATCTCTGCCCTCTTCTGTAGTGCTGAGACAGGCCTCTTGGCTCCAACTCTCTGGCTTCCCAAGAGAGGTACAGTCCACAGTGGAGGATTTGCCCTTCAAGGGCACCAAACTTTTTGTAGAATCCACAAATACTTCACTATACACCTTGAAAGATTCCAGACTGACTCTAAAAACTCTAGGCATCCACATACCTGTCATGAAAAGAAAGCAAAGCGGGTCATTCACTCAAAGATACAGAACACAACTGTTCAACCACCAGCAACGACACTATGACAGTAGGCATTGGGCACATCAAAACAAACTCAGACAACCCAACAAGCAGTCGTTGACTCAACAATTCTCAACATCTGGACAACAGTTTTGAAGTCCTGGTCGAATGTCTGACAACCCCAATATTTCTGAGGCAGCCATCAGAACCATCCACAATATTTGGCAGCAAACTAGCTGCATTCTAGCCAGCATGGTCTGGCATGATTAGCGACAAGTGGGAGTTGGAAAGTGTGAAAACCGGCTACTGCATCCCATTTTTAGTTAGCCCTCCATCCCATCTTCCCCTGGCCAACCCTTCAACAAGCCCTATGTTGAGCATGTTGTCGTACTAGAGGCAGGACACCTTCTAAAGCTGGGAGCCATAGAAGAGGTACCAGAACATCACAGTGGCAGGGATTTCTACTCTCATGCCTTAGATGTCCGCAGGGCACCTGCCTTTTACCTGTAGCGCACAAAGTCCTTTTGCAAAACACCGCGACTGTTTGTTTCATCTGCAGAGAGGTCACAAGGATTTCCCATATCAAAACAAAGAATGTCAAAATGGGTATCTAGTTGAATCCACTTAGCATATACCTGAGCAGGGAGACAGCCATCACTCTGTGTCAGGACCTACTCCACAAGGGCTATGATAGCTACTACTGCATTCCTTCACAGGGTACCCATGGAACACATCTGCAAGACCACCACATGGGCATCCACACACACCTTCATGCAGCATTATGTGATCCAAACATTTGCAGATGCAGAGATGAGATTTGGCCACACAATACTCTGTCATAGACTCTAACCTGCTGAAACTCCCCACTCCATCTATGTCTTCTGCTTTGTAATCACCGGAAGGTAGAGAACCCATGGGGACACTCATCACAGGAGAAGGGAAGGTTACTCACTATGTGCAGTAACTTGAGTTCTTCGAGATGGTTGTCCCCATGGGTGCTTCACCACCCATCCTCCTCCCCTCGGCTTCGGACTCCAGCATGTCTGGCTCAGAGAAGGAACTGAGGAGGCATCCGGCTGCACGTGTACAGTAGCCACTCCAGATTGCACATTCCAACACTCCACACATGCAGCCAGCCACAGAGCACTGCTGTCACAAATCTCCGATTGAGAGTACAGCAGTGCTGATGCACCTGAAGGTGCAGCACCCACAGCGACAACCATCTTGAATAACTCCAGTTACTGCACGTGGTGAGTAACCTTCCGTTCTCCAGGTTCTAGCAATTAAATCTTTTCTGCTGTTTTTTGCTTATGTATCTTTACTTCTTACCAATTAGTAATTCTTTTTTTGCTGTTTTTTAGCCGGAAATTGTTTATTGTTATACTGGAAAGAAAATATTAGCAAATCTATGATGAAACCATTTGTTAGTAATTAAATATATAAAAAGTAGAAGGAAAAGATAACAATACTTCTATAACAATATGCTTTACTGAAAATGTAGTTATGAAAAAGACTTAGGGTATGTCTACACTACCCCGCTAGTTCGAACTAGCGGGGTAATGTAGGCATACCGCACTTGCAAAAGAAGCCCGGGATTTGAATTTCCTGGGCTTCATTTGCATAAGCCGGGCGCCACCATTTTTAAATCCCGGCTGGTTCGAACCCCGTGCTGCGCGGCTACACGTGGCACGAACTAGGTAGTTCGAACTAGGCTTCCTAGTCCGAACTACCGTTACTCCTCATTCCACGAACTACCTAGTTCGTGCCGCGTGTAGCCGCGCGGCACGGGGTTTGAACCAGCCGGGATTTAAAAATGGCGGCGGCCGGCTTATGCAACTGAAGCCCGGGAAATTCAAATCCCGGGCTTCATTTGCAAGTGCGGTATGCCTACATTACCCTCCTACTTCGAAATAGGAGGGTAGTGTAGACATACCCTCATAGAGTTATTGTAACATATTGGTGCAGTATTCTTTCCTTAAAACAATTCTTTATCGCCAAAGAAACTAGAATAACTACAAATGGAGCCCTAAGTCAAGTTTTTTTTTTTTTTACTAAAAATAATAGCAAATCACAAATAATATGTGCCAAAGCCTCTTTTTTCTTTAAAACAAATATATATTGACATTTCGTACAAAACTGCCTCCTTTACTGGCTAATTTCTTATTTATTTTGCACACTCTATTGCTTGTTGTCAGAGGGTTACCAAATTTTAGGAGTTTGATGAACTACCAAAAAAACCCACAACAGAATATGCTTAGGAAAATATGGCTGCATCTTGCCTTCAATCCACAGGTACATATTCTACTGATATTCGGGGATGCTAAATGCAGAACTATAACGCTTGAAAAAAATGCAGAATTCGTTTTTTCTGAGTAAATGTTTTTAAAACAAGCCAAAAATATAGGTTACAGAGTTTAAGTATTAATATAATAATTTTGTAAAGTATTCCTTTACAGTTATGAGTGAATTGGATTCAGAGTACAGAAATTAATCTCATTAATGTTCTTCCATGTCAGGAAGAAAGATGCTGGTGACACTGATAAAAAAGTGTGCTATTAAGTGACTTATAAAATCTATAAAATCTTTGGGGCAATGGGAGGGGGCATTAAAAAATAAAATCACAGATTAATGTCAGTAGTCAGGTTAACTTCTTCCACAATTTTTAGTATTTTAAATCATAAGAGAGCTTATAAAAACATGTAACTATAGAACATGCTTTTGTACCTTTAACATCGTTTTATAAAAAATGTTTGTTTTTATGACAGCCATATTCTGATCATGGAGTTCAAGCAGCATATCATCAAGTTTATGCACAGAGTGCGATAGCCATGCCAACACCTGTGATGCAGCCTGAGCCAGTTAAAGTAAGCTCTGTAGTCTCTTTTCTTTTGTCTTATGTACTGCCAGGTGTAAGTAAGGAGGACAAGAATGTTGCAAAGGAGTTAAAGTATTCATCGTGTTAGTCTTCATCACAGAGGCTGTTGGGGAAGCACCTACCTTGAAATTGTTCAATTCAGGTAATCAATATGAGTCATAGTCAAAAAATAAGGTGTCAAATGAGGAAGAGCTGGAAAGAATTGATAAGTTAAAGAATAACAAATCACCAGGACTGAATGGAGGATTTCTGAAGAAGCTTAATAATTAAGAGCTGCTAATAAAAAAATACGTATGCCATCTTGTATGTATGCTGATAAAATATGAATGCCATCTCATATGAAGATCGGCTGCTATTCCAGAGGCAAGAGGCTAGCAAATGGCAATACTTATCTTTTAAAAAGACTTTCAGGATGGTACTGAGAATAGTGAGTTTTACTTCTGTTAGGTATGTTAAAATTAGATTAAATGGCTAATTGATTAGTCGATAAGGTCGCCTCTGCCTTTCGCTATACTTCAAAGGCAAAAGTGCTGTGGGGAGCATGAGGCCAACGGGAGACTCAAGCAGTCTCCCACTGGCCCTGTGCTCCCTGCGATGTTTCAAAGCAACAGCGCCACATGGAGCCCGGGGTCAGTGGGGGACTCCCAGCTGGCCCCGGGCTGCACATGGTGTTTCAAAGCAGCAGACTTCAGGCTCCGTGCAGCGCTGCAGCTTTGAAATGTCACATGCAGGCTGGGCCAGCTGGGGTTCCCCTGCTAGCCCCAGGCTGCACACGGCATTTCAAAGCGGCAGCGCTGTGTGGACCCCAGGGTCTGGCCCCGGGCTCCACACAGCACTGCCACTTTGAGGCGCCCCCTCTTCTTCCCTCCCTCCCTTGCTGCTTCTTTCTGATAGAGGCAGCAAACGGGGGGAAAGTAACTAGTCGGCTAGTATGTCAACTATCTGATAAGCATTTTCTTATCAGATAGTCAACTAGTTGACTAGTCGTTCAAATCCCTAACTTCTGTAATAGAAAGTTGACTGAAACAACAATTATAAATATAATTTTATAATATATAGCTGAACATGCTGAGGGAGGGACAGAAAAGCACAGCTTCTGTATGACAAAATCATTCCTCCAGTATATTAGCATGTTTTCATGATGCTAACAGAGTAGAGCAGGGATCGGCAACCTTTTCAAACTAAAGAGCCAAGCTACATAGAAATTCAGAACAAGTGGTCAACAAAGAGCCAGTATAAGAATGCCATTTGCATTACTGAAAATATACAACGTAATATTATTGATAATAGACATAATGATTAATAATAGCATAAATGAAATATACTCACAGACTTTATTTAATGGGACTTTTGCTGCTGCATCTTTTCACCCATTTCATCATAACTGGTCAAATCCTACTTCATCCATGCAATCACACTGCCTTCTGTCAATCTTATGGCAGGGAGCTGGTGATGTAGGGGTGTAGGAGAGTAGGCTGGCGTGTATGAGAGGCTCAGGGCAGGACATTGGGTGTATGTTGGACTCGGGGCACAAGGTTGGGGTGTGTGGAGGTGCAGGAGTGTTCTGGCAGGAGACTGGGGATGTGTGGGTGCAGGAGACTGGGGGTGTCAGGTCATAGGAGCTCAGAGGTTTCAGGTCTATGATGGGCTCAGTTTTGGGGTGTGTGGAGGGTGCAGGAGTATTATGACACTGCAGCCAGATGGGGGCTGGGCCCCAATTCGGGGCTTGTTGACCAAGCTTAATTTTTAAATAAAGTAAAATATTGTGTCCAACACAGACGTTTTCAACATTGCCTTGTTTTATGGCAGGAGTGGGGAACCTTTTTTGAGTCAGTGGCCACTAAGTCACAGAAAAATTAGTTGGGGACCACACAAGTGAGAAGCAAAAAAACCCCTCCAAAATCCATCAGCCCTCACTGATGTAACCCCCACCTTAAACACATCACTACTCTGGTGTTCCAGCTCCATAGTGGGGGGAGGAACAGGAAGGGCTGAGGTTCAAGGCCTCAGGCCAGATTTGCTCTTCTGAGGTTTTCAGGGTTACTGGATTTTGTGCCCCCACTAGGCTCTGGGGTGAGGCCAAAAATGAGGGTTTAAGTGTGCCAGACAGGGCTGCTAGAGAATGGGATAGGGATGGGAGTGCACGATCTGGGCAGGAGGAGGTACAATGTAGGAGGGCGTTGAGGTACAAGGTCTGGCCAGAGGGCAGGCTGCCTGACCATGAAGCAGAGGTAGGAGCAGGCTGGGGGCAGGCTACCTGGCAAGGGAGTAGGAAACTGGCTGCCTAGCCAGGGCGGGGGGAGAGTGGGTTTGGCCTAGGGAATAGCGGGGATTCTGGCCAGAGGGGAAGGGAAGGGGGGATTCTGGCCAGGGGATAGAGGGCAGGGAGGTGTCTGGCCAGGGGGCTGGGGTTAGGGAGGATTTTGGCCAGTCCCATGATGAGGGAAGGTGCAAGGAGGACTGAGATTGAAGGTGTCAGGCCAGATTTACTCTTTTGGGGTTCCAGAGTTAGTCAGTTTTGTGGGCCCCCCAGGCTCAGCGGGAGGGGGGGGCTAAAATGAAGAGTTAAGTGTGTGGGACAGGGCTGCCAGTGAATGGAATAGGGATGGGAATGTAGAATCTGGGTGGATGGAGGTGGGCTGTAGAAAGGGGTGAGGGTGCAAGGTCTGGCCAGGGGGCCAGCTACCTGGCCATAGGGCAGGGGGCAGGAGCCAGGAGCAGGCAGGCTGCCTTGCCAGGAGGCAGGTGCAGGCTGGGGGCTTGCTGCCTGGCCAGGGGGTGATTCCTGGTCAGAGGGCAGGGGAGATTCTTTGCCAGGGGGCAGAGAGCATCTGGCCATGGGGTAAGTGAAGGAGTTGGGGTCTGGGCAAAAGGGGTTGGGGAGGTACTTGGTTTTGTGCCACATGGCAGGTATTGTGTAACAGGGCCTCCTGCTGCTCCCATTCCCTGGAAGCCTCCAGAGAAGTGTTTCCCAGAGGGACAACAAAGGGCGGTGTGATGCGCATGGAGCCATTTTGGCTGCTTGTTTCCTGCATGTGGAGGGAAGGAATAGAGCAGCACACTGAGTCATTTTTTGCTCCACTTGTTCCCAGCACAACGGATCCAGTGCAGAGCCTCGGTGCTTTCTCCCCCCATCCCTTTCCCCTGGAAGCCAGCGCTGATGCTCCAGTCTTGTGGGGAACTGTAGCTGAGTCCTGGGGACTGGGAGCGTTCCCCCGCCCCGGGGTGAGGGTCCTGCAGGCCTGCAGCCCCTTTTTCCCTGTGCACCCTCCCCCTCGGCCTCTGTCCACGTTTTGGCTGCTCTTGCAGTACAGGCCCTCAGTCCTTCTGGCGGCTTGCGTCCGCATTCCTGGGGAGACCCTTTGGAGGTCCGGCGTCCATCTGGTTGTCCTCCTCCTTAGGCCGCAGTCCACCCCGGCCTCCGTGGTCCACTGCCCGTAAATCAGGGCGGCTCCCAGTGCTCGGGTCTCCTTGCTCCATGTCCCTGGTGTGGTCGCCACTTCCTCGGTCTGCGGGGAGGGGGGGTTGAGAACAACACCAGACCCTGCTCTGTATCTCCCCCCTTATTTCCTCCTCCCTTCCGCCCTTATCTGCTCCTCCCGGCGTCCCCTCGCCCCTGCCCTGCGTCCCGCTTGGCCCCGCGTCCCGCTGGCTCCGGGCCACTGTCAGTGCGGAGGTTGGATCCCCCGTCACAGGGACTGTAAGGTTGTAACATCAGCATGGGCGCCATGCTATGGCAGGAGCAAGGGGGACCTAATTGGGGCTCCAGAAGAGTCATATCTAGCTCTCTAGAGAGCCATATTTGGCTTGCGAGCCATAGGTTGCCAACCCCTGCAGTAGAGGATAAAGGCTCTCCGGGCCACTGTCAGTGCGGAGGTTGGATCCCCCGTCACAGGGACTGTAAGGTTGTAACATCAGCATGGGCGCCATGCTATGGCAGGAGCAAGGGGGACCTAATTGGGGCTCCAGAAGAGTCATATCTAGCTCTCTAGAGAGCCATATTTGGCTTGCGAGCCATAGGTTGCCAACCCCTGCAGTAGAGGATAAAGGCTCTGATTGATTTTTCCATTGCAGTGTCCACTTGTGGCAACTGCAGGTTTTTACTACAGATGGAACCTCTCTAGTTTGGCACTCTCTGGTCTGGCAACATCCGTGGTCCAGAATGATTTTAGTTAGCTGGATGTCCACTTATCCTGGGTGTGGCCAAGTTTCCTGTGGTCCTGTAAAGTTTGTTTACAGATGCCAGTCCTGACTCGTAGTGTTCTTTATTTAGCTCTAAATTACTCCTAAATGTCGAGCCCAGCAAGCAGTGAAAGGGTTGGTAGTGCTACTAAACGTAAGCATGTTATTAATGCTTTATCTACTTAGTTCCTTGTGCCAATACAGTAAAATTGTGTAACAACACTAACACTTTGTTATGAAGATAGATGATAAGCCTTAGCCAGGCATATGCTTATATAGCGTGTATCAGCATAGTCATACATTATTATGCAACATTGCAAGCATTGTTCTGTTTATTCTCCTCAGCAAAATAAAAAGAGACCCACTCATTACATTATTGACCTCCTCTGGTCTGGCAAATTCTACGATTCAGCACCTGTCAGTCCCTGTGGGTGCCAGACTACAGAGGTTCAGCCTGTAGATTTGCTTTTTTGTGAAGTCCAGTGAAGTGGTATTTTAGCCTTCCAGCCAAATCAAACTTCAGTCCTTCTTTTGGGTTGCTAAGGTCCAAAAGAAATCCAGAAAAACTGTAATTTCACAATAACAGTTACCTAAAGCACCCTTAGTGGGATCTCACCTTTACATTTAATGATTATCTTCAGATAGTATTCTGGCCTGTCTCCCAGAATCTCATCATCCATTCCACCGGTATGTTTGTCTAACCAGCTAGCTCCCTTAGTCTTTGCATCAAGACTTCCCTCGTATCAAGAGAAGCAGTCTTCTGCTCTCCTACATTGCCTCTTTTAAGTTCCCCTCTCCATTCTTGAC